TTATCTTTTAGCTTGTTGTGGCTAGTGATGAGCTCATTGTGCACCCACTCAAGTTTATCATGTTTATCTTTAAGCTCTTTCTTAGAAGATTTGAGCTCCTTGAGTTTGAATGACATAGCATCATTTGCTTCTCTAAGCTCAACATTAGTCTTTTCTATTGTATCACATTTTGCTAAAAGTGAATCATTCTTAGCATCTAGTTTTTCATTTTTAGCTCTACTCTTTATAATGATCTTAGTGTATTGTCTTAGTATTTTAACAAGATCATCATATGAAGGTGAATCATCATCATCATCGCTATCGCTATCATCATCACTAGCTTGCTCATCATCACTACTATTATCAATATTAGTTACCTTGTGTTCACCCTTGGCCATAAGGCATAGGTGTGTAGAGGATGGTGGTGGTGGTGGCGGTGAAGATGAGAGATCAATAGCTATGGCGGCCACCTTCTCATTGTCACTATCATCATCGGATGATCCACTAGATGAATCAATGTCCGTGAGCCAATCACCGACAATGTAGGCCTTTTCACTATTCTTTTTCTTGTGGAAGTCTCTTTTCTTGCCATCTCTCTTCTTATATGGCTTATTCTTCTTCTCCATTGGTTGAGTCATCTTTCTTGCCCTTGAACTTGTCTTTCTTGGGCTTGATGCATTGGTGTGCTAGATTACCAAGTTCACCATAATTGAAGCAATCCATTTCGGAGATTGGCTTTCTCCTAGAGCTTGTGAAGAACTTCTTCTTGCCATCGAACTTGATGCCACTCTTGTTTAGCTTCTTTAGCATCTTGGCGGCTTTCTTCACCATGAGAGCAAGATTTTCATCTTCATCTTCTTCATCACTTGAACTCTCATACTCAAATCTTGCTTTGCCCTTATCTTGACTAGCTTTAAATGCTAAATCTTTTTCTTTCTTATTAGTAGAGGATGAGCCATCTTGAGGTGTGATGTGCATGTACATCTCATGAGCATTGATCTTTCCCAAGATTTGTGTCGGTGTAGCGGTGGAGAGATCACCTTGATATAGCACGATCACAATATGCCCATATTTGTCAATGGGAAGGACAGTCAAGATCTTTCTCATAACATCGGATGGTGACATTTGAGTAAGTCAAGTCCATTGACTTCCTCTACAAGAACATTCAAACGTGAATATATTTTATTAGCACATTCTTTAGGAAGCATTTCAAAAGAGTTGAGCTTTTTCATGACAAGATGATAGCGTTCCTCACGCTCACTCTTTATTCCCTCATGGAGCGCACAAACGTCCGACCATAGTGCATGTGCGTCTTTCTGGTTCCTTACATGATTGAACACATCTTTGAAAAGGCCTCTAAAGATAGTGTTGCGAGCCTTTGCATTCCATTTTTCATAGTTCACTTCATCGCCTTGAAGTTGTGCGGGATTCCTAGGTCTTGGGAAACCATGTGAGGCGGCTCTAAGTATTCCAACGTCTAGAGCTTCTAAGTACGCCTCCATGCGATTTTTCCAATATGGAAAATCATCCCCCTCAAAGATAGTAGGAGGTCCATCCCCGTGAGACATCTTGCTCTAAGCGGTTAAGCTTAAAAACGTGAGCATGAGGCTCTGATACCAATTGAAATGATCAAGATGCCCAAGAGGGGGGTGAATTGGGCTAATTCTAAATTTCTTCGCAATAAACAAGTCATATGGTTAGCTCAATTAACCCCTTGTGCCCAGAGAAGTGTTTCTATTGATCTAACGTACAAAAGTTTAGCAACCTAGTTCCAATCCTATTCTAGCATGGCAATTTTAGGAATGTAAATGACAAGAATTGAAATACTCAAAGTAAATGCTCAAAGTAAAGAGAGAAGAGAAAACACGGCGATGTTTTGCCGAGGTATCGGAGAGTCGTCACTCCCCACTAGTCCTCGTTGGAGCACTAGTGCAAGGGTGTAGCTCCCCCTTGATCCGCGCAAGGATCAAGTGCTCTCTATGGGTTGATTCTTCGACACCCCGTCGCGGTAAATCACCCATAATAGCTCACAACTTGAGTTGGGTCATCCACAAGCTCTCCGGATGATCACCAAGCTCTGCGATCACCACCAAGCCATCTAGGTGATGGCAATCACCAAGAGTAACAAGCACGAACTCTCACTTGACCACGACAAGCCTAGGGAGAAGGGTGAATGCACACTTTGCTACTCTTGATCTCACTAATAAGGGCTTTCTTTGGGATTCTTAAATCTCAATCACCTCACTAGGACCTTACTCTTCTTGGCACTCTCTAAGGTGTGTTTCAGCTGTTGAAATGAGCAAAAGTGACTCCACACACGAGTGGAGCTTCTATTTATTAGACAGCCTGAAAAATGAACCGTCATGTGCCTCTGCGGGGTGACCGGACGCTCCGGTCATGTTGACCGGACGCTCCGGTCAGTTCAACCCGCACATCAGTGTTTAAATGTTGACCGGACGCTGGCAGGGTTCGGTCACCACTGACCGGACGCGTCCGGTCCCATTTTCCCTCACTGGATGCTTACTGTACTCGACCGGACGCTGGATCCTCAGAGTCCGGTCAGAATTGACTGGACGTGTCCGGTCGCAGAATTCATTCTCTGGAACCATACTGGAGTCGACCGGACACAGCGTCCGGTCGCACCAGACGCAATCTCCTTGGTCAAATGAACTGACCGGACCCTACGGCCAGCGTCCAGTCGCACCGGAGCCAGCGTCCGGTCAGTATTTGACCCTCCATTCACTTCTAACTCTCAATCATACGTGAATAAAGTTTGCTCCAAAGGATCTTAGGCATATGTAGGAGCTACCTAGTGCTAGTTTCAACAAGTGTGCACCACACCTAACTCACTAGACTCACATAGGTCAAGCTACCCGTCCATACCCCCTTAATAGTACGGCCAAAGGAAAAACAAAGTCCTAAACTACTCTAAGTGTCTCTCCAACTCCAATCGACACTTAGAACTAGTCATTCTTAACCTTGTCGTCCATCCTTTGAAAATCGAAACGATTTCCATCGTAGGGGCATGACATCCATGATTGCCCAATCGATCTCTATTACCATGACCTAACTTAATTGCCTCTGCAAAATACACGTTAGTCATAGTAATCTTGTATTGTCATTAATCACCGAAACCCAACAAAGGGCCTAGATGCTTTCAAGGCCGTCCACCGCCTGCGGATCCAGCGACACGGGCGTCGCCGCCGCCGCCGAGGCGTGGGCGAGAGCCTCTCGCCAGCAACCGTCGCCGGCCCGATGGCCACCAGCTCCGGTGACCACACTGCCAGTGGACAGCGACGTTGGATGCGCAAGTGGGGAGGAAAGCGTGTGCTCCACACCCTTTGTAAGCGCGCCGTCCAGCCCCGACCGTGACCGTCGTTCTCCGCCGCCGGTTGCTTCTTCAACATAGGCCGCCGTCCAGCCCCACCGCGACTTCGTCGTTCTCCGATGTCGGTTGCTTCTTACATGGCGCCCACGGCGGCACTACGGATGAGTACGACGGCTGCGAGCTGGGATTCGACTTTGACTTCTCTCTCGCTTTGCCCGTCTCCCGCCAAGGGCGGCGATGTCCTTCGCCGACGAAGCTCTTCCGCGAACGGCCGATTCGGCCAATGCCGCTCACGTCCTTCTGCTGCTCCGCCGCATAGCGCCTCCGCCTCTCGGCGGAGAGCGTCCCCCGCCGCCAAGACGAAGCATGGCCATCTCCGCCGAGCCGCCGCGTGCACCGCCGGTACCGCTCCTCTCTCCCTCCGCGCGCTGGCGGCTATTGCCGCGTCGCCGCCGCGCCGGCGGGCGGCGAAGTCCGTGGAGCCAGCAGCGGCGGGCGAGGCCGAGGCGGCCCCGTCGGTGTCACGGTCGTCGTCGTCCTCCTCGACGGCGTCCTCTGCTTCCTCCTCCTCATCGTCAAGAAGCTACTACTACAGGTGGGATCTCTTTTTGTAGTAATCTTACAGTGATGTATTTTTAAGTGTTGATGACCGCTGAAAATGTTGGTCTTCTACTGGTGATTCTTTGGTCTGGTCGGAGTTCCTCTATCCTAAGGCATGGCGCCGGAGGGGCAAGACCGCAGGAGCACGACGTACGTGGGGACGGATTGGGAGAGAGGGATGACATTTTGTATATTTTTTCTAGTCGGTCCACATGTCATGGCTAGCCAACGGTGGAAATCTAACAAAAGACGGATGGAATGTCGTAGAGGATAAAAAAAATTTAGCGTCATAATAACAAGATCCGTATAAATTTTTTAGTAACATATAAAAATAGAGCATCTTTCGTTAATGGCACGCTGGAAAAGCCTCGAAGAAAAGCATGTGGGCTACTAGTTCCGATCCGGTTCCCCTGTGGTGCGGCGCGGCGCGGCGGTGCCACCTCGCCCTCGCGCGTCGCCTGGGGCCACGCCGATGGCAACTTGGCGATGAGCCCGTTGCTCGGTTTTTGTTGCTAAACTAGTATGGCGCGACAAAACGCCTCGAATGGCTCGTTTTCGGGTTCGAAACAACGAAACTGAAATCGTGTATTCCCATTCCCTGTACCTGCAGCAGCCCCGTTAGGCCACGCACAAGTCGCACATCAACCAGTTGAGGCGCGCCGCGCGAAGAGGATGCTGGCACCTGAACCGTCCCAACCTTGGCTGAGGTTTTCAGCGTTCAGAACAAGTCACATAGCATTCGCACTCACAAACTGAAGACAAGAACGTTTATTTGTGTCTATTCGAACATGTGCACTGCTAGCCTAGTAGTGCCAAAAACCCCGTCGCCGTGCACATCTACTGGTACTTAAAAACCTAGCCGCAAACAATGTTATTACGATTCAGAGCAGTGCGCTGGATGTATTTCTGGCAGTTTATACTGCAATGGCTGCAATTGTATTATCATCCAACTCAATGATGAATCTTTACAGCATGTTTACTGTACTTGCACCCAGCTCAATGATGAATCTTTACAGCGTGTTTCTTTACAAGTTTCATTCATCAGATTATTCCAAATTTGAACTCCATAAATGGTAAGGCTTCTACATCCCTGTCAGAGTTCAATGAACAATTCGAACTCTTCATCACCCACCGTTAGAACATGGGCACCCAATAACAGTACCCTTTTGCCTTCAGGATTGGCTGCGCTCATATGCTTGCAAGGGTCCACGGTAATCTCCACATTGGATGCACTGCCAGCCGCCGTGTGGACACGTTCAAAGCCAACCAGCTGTTTTATAGGAAAGCCTGGAACGCTTGATTTCGATCTTGCAAACAGAAGAACAGCATGACTCCCATCCATGCTACCATGATTTGAAACAGCGACGTGAACAGAGAATGCCAGAGCTTCACACGACGCAATATCTTCAGTTTTCACGAAGTCTAGTCCATCCCTCCTTATGTATGCAGGCTTTCTACTAATAATGTCCAAAACTGATGAACGCGACACGGTGATCTTCTTTGGAGCTGACAAGATGCTATATGAATATTTGGAGTAACTTAAACCATATCCAAAACCATACACTACATCTCCAGTGTAAAAACGATATGTTCTCCCAGGGTAACCACGTGAAGGGTCAGCTCTCATGTTCATATCAGTCATCGGAATAGCAGTAAAGGATTCGGGATACCAAGTTATAGGCAGCTTTCCTCCTGCATTATAGCACGCACCAAATTAGTCCAGTGGCCACCACAACTTTTCATTGCAATAGTCATATATTTTTCAAGAGGTTATTTACTCACCTGGGTTGTACTCTCCAAAAAGAATTTCTGGAAGGACTTGGCCACCAACCTCACCAGGATATCCGAGCCAAAGAATGCTTGCGATTCGTGGATCTTGCTTTGCAAATGAAACATCAACAGGACCACCACCCAAGAGAACCAACACAAGGGGCTTCTTCGCTACACTAGCAATGGTATGTATGAGGCTCATCTGCTTGCCTGGAAGGAGAAGGCTCACTCTATCGAAGTCTTCACGCTCTTCTGTCAGGTTCAAGCCAGCAACTACAACAACAATATCAGCTCTTTTAGCTGCTTCAATAGCTTCGCGAAACAATTCTGTCGAGTTACAGGAAACATCCTTGCATCCAGTGGCAAACGTTGTCTGTGTAGCATAGGCTTGAATGCCCTTAAGGAAGGTCGTCGGATTGCAGGCTACACCTGAATAAAGTGAATATAATGTTAAAATGTATGCAAAATAGTAAGTTAAAGCAAATGTTCATTTGAGGCGGTGATGTGAAACCTGTATAGTCTCCACCCATCGCATACACATCATTTGCAGATGGTCCAATGATGGCAACATGTCTAACTTCGCTTCTCTTCAGAGGCAAAAAACTATGGTCATTCTTCAAAAGGACAGCACCCTGCCTTACAGCTTCTGCTGCAAGCTCTCTATGCTCTTTCGTGCACACATTGTTGGGCCCTAGTTGAGTGAACCATTGGTTGTTGTTGGGCTTATCAAATATTCCAAGACGCAATTGAACAGAGAATAGATTAAAAAGGGCACGGTCAATATCTTGTTCTTGAACCTTTCCCTTCTCAACTGCTGACTTAGTATGCCGAACTAGGAAAGAACCACAGTTGATATCCATTCCTTCAAAAAAAAAAAGAGTAACTCTAACACCTCAGCAAAAGATTAGCTGATAGATTCAAGACGTAAATGGTCAGATGGCAGATGATGTTCTAAGAAATTTAGTTTGACAAGACGTCAAAACCTCCGAACATCAAGGTTCTCAAGGAATCACTGGAAACAGAAAGGAGAAGCCTCAAAATGGAACAAGTATGTAAATATCTTTGCAATATTGGGGGTTACCAAAACAAGGTTTACATCAGTTGGACTTGACTACCATTTTTCCTACATACTCATAGTATCTACTTTTGAAATGCTAGATTTGATTGCCCTAAAAAATGCTAGATTTGACTGAGAAGCCACTTCTAGTCTACAAAGAGAAACAAATCACGCATTTCTCAGTATAAGAGAGAAGGTTTGAGGGTACTAACCTGCCTTAAGAACAATTGCTATTGAATCTTCGTCTGATTTAGTGTATGTCTGGTTTTCGTGAATAATTGCCACAGCATCACAATCAGATGTAATATACCTTGAGAGAATCAAATGAACACAGGTAAACAAAAATGGAAATGCTGGATTTGGTGGTTCATATAATGAAATTCCTTGTCATTCATATTCTGTGGTCCAAGTCTCAACAGAGGCAAATTTAGAGGAAGAACAAGTAGCATACCCCTGGAAGCCCCATTCATCCCTGGTCTTCTGTAGAAGATCTTTGTTAGCACACATAGGCACGCCATTGACCTGGTTATATGAACACATCAAGCAGGTAGCACGAGCCTCCTGGATGCAGGTCTTGAAAGGCGGCTGGTACGTGTCTTCCAAATCTTGTGCATTTACCTGCCAGCAGTGGATTACAATCCCGACTTGCAAAGAAATATGGTGATTCCAAGGCTGTACTTCGACTTTTGAACTGAGCATATATATTGCTAAGCAGAGTATATGAAGAGAGAAATTTTGATTGATTTTTTTTTCAGTTCAGTTTACCACGAAGGCACGAACATCTTAACATGCGCCCTCGAGCAGAACATGTCAGTGTTTCTCTATGATGCGTGACTCAAGATAAGATTGGCTGGTGGGCAGTGGCTATCTACGGAACTTGTTTAATCAAGATTATACAAGTTCAGAGAAATGAAGAGACGTGAATGTGTTCACCTTGGCATTGAAGGTGTACCTCGAGAAGCCTTCCCATTTCTCCATGTCATACGCTGTATAGTGCTTGCAGCACGCAGAGAGCCTGATTCTGCCTTCCTCCCCTTGCTCCCCCTGGAAGCCCTTGACATACTCGAGGGAGTACGCGGAGGCGACAGCGGGGTCCTCCCCGGACGTCTCTTGGCCGCGGCCCCACCTCGGGTCTCGGAAGATGTTGATGTTGGGCGCCCAGTACGTGAGGCCGGCCTGGCCGGCGTTGTGCATGCCGAGGGCCTCCGTCGCGACGGCCTCGGCGACCGCGCGCCACAGCGAGCGGTTGAAGGCGGCGGTGGACAGGATGACCTGCGGGAAGGAGGTGGCGGCGCGGACGGGGCCCGAGGAGAAGTTGACCCCGGGCCCATTGTCGGCGAGGCCGTGGAGCGACTCGGACCACCACTGGTAGGGCGGGATGCCCAGGCGCGGGACGCCGCCCGCCGTGTTGGACAGCTGCGCGATCTTCTCGTCCAGGGTGAGCAGCGAGACGAGCGCGCGCGCGCGGGCCGGGATGGAGAGCGAGGCGTCGCAGAACGGGTAGGCGCTGCTGGCCGAGTAAGGCGACGCGCACGGCGGGCGCGCGTTCGGCGCGGCGGCGGCGCCGGCGCAGGCGAGGAGGCAGAGGAGGGCGAGAAGCATGGCGAATTGGCGGGGCGGCGTAGCCGTTTGGTGGGGAGGATCCGGATTTCGGTCCAACACAACAATTTGGCCGTGCGCTCGGCTCGAGTGGCTTGCCGTTTAAGCGACGACCCACTGAGCTAGCTAGCTGCAGTGTTGTCACGGGACGGGACGGAGACTGGGACGACAAACGGGGACCCGGCGTGTGGGGCTGGATGGTTTGCGTCGTGGAGTGGAGGGTTAGCTGCCCGCTGCCGAGTGTATGACTAGGATCAGTTGCTTGCTAGCACGGCCTATGCGTAATTCATTTTGGATAAGTATGGCCACTTGAAACAGTCACGCTTTGGCTTATCGCGGGGAATCAGGACTCAGGGAATCGTGTTTGGACCCGCAACAAGATATTCTTTCTGGTTCTTAGAAGAAAATAAAGAGAGATATTCTTGATTTCTTTCTCGTTTGTTAATGCTTGCCGCACTGTTCAACGTCTTTATTAAGTGATGGGCTGATGGCAGTTCTTGGCTTTTGCTTTGGGAAGGTGCTGTGCGGATGAGTTGTAGTATCGTGGTAGCTGTCGGCCATTTTCTGTGACACTGTGGCTCTGTTCGTTTTGCTGAAAAAATAAGTCGAAATACTGTTCCGATTGATTTATTGAGAGAAAAAAACACTGTTTCGACTGAAAAAATAAGCTAAAAAGTATGGATTATAAGACAAGCGAACAGGGCATATATCTCGTTCTTGGCTTAAAGCTATGGCTCTCTGGTTAGGGTATGTTTGAAATGCAGGAATTTCACAGAAATCTTGCAGGAAATTCACATGAATGAGTTCAAGTTAAAAAAAAACACAGGAACAAGAATTTTTTTGTGCAATCCCCTAATCTATCACGTATATCATCGTTCCGAACTCGATCCCTTCTTGTATGACTATAAATCCAACGCAACATATGTATTTCCGCGACACTTATCTGTTGAACATGTCGTCTTTTCGTATGCCAATATTCTGCACCATACAACATAGCAGGTCTAATCGTCGTCCTATAAAACTTGCCTTTTAGCTTCTGTGATACCCTTTTGTCGCAACCAATATAAATGCAACGTACATTAATGTCGAATGCATTCATGGCAGTTATATCTCGCATTTTTATTGTAGAAAATTTTTAAATGCTTTAGACATTGATTAGAATGTTTTGGATCTTTTTAGAGTTCTAGGTATATTTTTTTTCTACTTCCCTAGAGATAAATCTAATTTCTAGAAACTTCTAGATATATTTTCATGTCTCTAACTATTTTATTTGGATTTATCGTGTTCTAGTCTATCTCTACCATTTTCTCGAATTTTTATAAGCCTAGAGATATTGCAGATGCCCTAATCTGTCACTAGAATTTTCTCAAAATTTTAATAAGCCTAGGGGTATTGGACGGATGGACAATGCTTGTTGTTGCTGCATAGAAAACAAGGTGCACTGATTATTGTTGTAGCACAGACGATCACACTATTTTTTCAGAGTTTGAAAACCTTATTCAAATGTTTACCATTTTTTTAATTATAAATGACAAAACCATCTTGAGAACCACTTCTAACCAGATCACAAGGTAACTTAATTGGTTTTGGGGTTGAGGGAGGCAACTTAGTTTAGTTTTGGAGTTCGAGAAGAAAATCTTGACTGTGACGATAGTTGAGCGAGTGAAAAAGACGTTTTCCATAAGAAAAGATGTTTTCCAAATGTATATCTTGTAGACTTTGTTAGGCCCTACTTAGAATGCGGAAAATTTTCTTTGTATATTTTTCCTATAAAATCGCACTAATTTCTATAAAATTTTATATGTTTTTTTTTTGTAAAATCCTGTATTTCAAACAGATCCAGCCTTTTGAGATTTGGATTTGGAAAATTTGAAAACGTAGGAAGCCGTCCAGTTTTTTTTTTTAAATCAAGCCGTCCAGTTCAATTCGCGGAGTCGCGGGCTTCGAGCCAAACGTATGGGCTTGGGCCTAGCCGCACGGCCGCACTCCACGGGGTTGTTTCTCTGCACAACGGAACTTACCAACCAAACAACCGGGAAAACGCAGAAACCCACCTTAAAAACCCCGTAAAACCACAGGGAAACCTCGCACCGTCACACGTCTTCCTCCGTCCAGCCTGTCTCCGGTCCCCCGGCTCTTTAACTCCGCATCATCCCCAATCCGGTCTTCCCCACACCCGTACCCATCAAATTCCCTTCCGCTCGATTCTCCGGGAGGGGGAGGGTAGCTGAAGGACATCCCGGGGACGCAATGCGCGTCCTCTCCGTGGTCCTCCTCGCCGCAACGTGCGCGGCGGCGGCCGGAGGCGGCGGGGAGCTTCCGGAGTTCCGGGAGGCTCCGGCGTTCCGCAACGGCGCGGCCTGCGCGGGCGCGCCGACGATCCACATCGCGATGACGCTGGACGCCACCTACCTGCGGGGCTCCCTCGCCGGCGTCCTCTCCGTGCTCCGCCACGCCGCCTGCCCGGAGTCCATCGCCTTCCACTTCGTCGCCTCCTCGGCTTCCCCGGCGCGCCGCCTCGCCTCGCTCCGCCGCGCGCTGGCTGCCGCCTTCCCGACGCTCCCGGCCACCGTGCACCGCTTCGACGCCCGCCTCGTCCGGGGCAAGATCTCCTCCTCCGTCCGGCGCGCGCTGGACCAGCCCCTCAACTACGCCCGCATCTACCTCGCGGACCTCCTGCCGCGCTCCGTCTCCCGCGTGCTCTACCTCGACTCCGACCTCCTCGTGGTCGACGACGTCGCCCGCCTCTGGGCCACCGACCTCGGCCCCGACGCCGCCCTCGCTGCCCCCGAGTATTGCCACGCCAACTTCACCTCCTATTTCACCGACGTGTTCTGGCGCCACCCCGAGTACGCCGCCGTCTTCGCCAACCGGACGTGCGTCCCCTGCTACTTCAACACCGGGGTCATGGTCATCGACCTGGACAGGTGGCGCTCCGGCGGGTACACCGCGAAGCTGGAGTACTGGATGGAGGTGCAGAAGCAGGAGGCCAGGATTTACGAGCTGGGCTCCCTCCCGCCGTTCCTGCTGGTGTTCGCCGGCGAGGTGAAGGCCGTGGAGCACCGGTGGAACCAGCACGGGCTCGGCGGCGACAACGTGGAGGGGCAGTGCCGGGAGCTGCACCCCGGTCCGGTCAGCCTGCTGCACTGGAGCGGGAAGGGGAAGCCGTGGCTGCGGCTGGACGCCGGCCGGCCGTGCCCGCTCGACGCGCTCTGGGCGCCCTACGACCTTCTTCGCCGCCGCGGCGCCCGGGACGACCTCCTCGCCGCCGTCGCCTGACAATGCTGGCCCCACATCGGTGGAGCGCGATCGACTTGCTCACGTCCGATCGGATCATATGCCACGGCGCTTGGCTGCTCCGCTCGCTTCGCCGTTCCACTCTCCCACGGGTGGGTGTCGGCGTCGGGCACCGAGTCACTGACACGTTAGACCCACCTGGACACTCTGGGTGGGTCCCCTGATGAGTCCATGCTGTCAGTCGTAATGGCGTTGGTTGGAGTGACCCTGTCGGTACTGAAATTCGTCGGGCCCACACGTTGGTGGCGGATGGGGATTTTGGGGTGGGAGCCGAGGTGAGAGAAAAATGAATTCATTACGACGGGGCGATGGGCTGAATGGCCTGGCCAGCCCCAGCTAGCCGAATAAGCCAGCCGAACAAGCTCGTTGTTTTTTTGACCTGTTGGGACAATAGATCTTTAGATTCTATTCTTTATTTTGTTCTTGTTATAAATTCTTGAATCTACTTCCATATAATAGCAATAGTAGCACAGGCACAGGTTTATCTCCATGGAATAAAATTGGGTATATTTGGAACTAGGGTTATATATTATTGTATATGATCGTCAGAGGTTAGGGCTCAGCAGGTGGAAACAAGGAGTGTTGTTCTTGGGAAATGCCTCTTGGTGTAGTTTTATAATTTTTTGTACGAATGCAAGGCTGCTGCTATTTTAAATTCGTTGATCGCAGTGCACAGCTAGCCAGATTTGAGATGTCGTTTTGCTCTCAGAATGAAATGAAATACTGTTCTTCTAACTTTTATAGTATAGCAAAAGTCAAAGGCTAATTGCATGTCGTCTAGTGGCACAAATCTCAATCCTGCGTCTCCAAAATTCAGGAATCTGATCTGACTTTACCGCTTTTGTTTAAAGCCTGATCCACGGATGATTTTCAGTGGAGTTTGGTGCCATGTGATTCGAATGGGCGCTTGCCAAGTGCTCGAGGGGATCTTTGTAGAAAAGGCGGCAAATTCTTTGCTTCTCCCGTGCGCGAGCGCGAGAGGGGGAGAAAAGGGAGGTCCGGTTCCTTTCTGCCTTTTCTCCTCAGTTAACATCAGGCTGCCGGGAAGGGGATGATCTCTCGATTAGGGTAGCGTGCGAGCGTGATGTTGTCGACGGGAATTCTGATTCGTGCAGGATTACTGCAGCGGTGACAGGCCATCCAAAGGTTCAATTGTGGTGATATGACTCCTTCAAAACTGATCCCCCGCCCCTACGCATCTTGGCCCTCGTTTAGTTCGGCCCGAATTCGGCGCCGGCAAAGCTACTGTAGTATTTTATTTGTATTAATAATAATTGTTCAAACGTTGACTAATTGCAGCCAAAACTTGCTCGCAATTAGTTTTTGATTGGCGCATTTGGGCTGCGTGCAAACAGGAATCTTCTTTTTACATACATAGTGCCAAAGTTTGAAATTGAGGGTAACTAAACACCCCTTGCTCGCTTCAATGGCGCTGGGCTGCGTGACAGCCGTGACTTGATCTGCCACATGTATATACTCCCTGCGGTGCTGCATCTGTAAGCAGATGGCAGATCTTGTCTCGGTCTACAGAACTGACAAAAGTGCCACCGACAGTCTCGGCATTTTACCCGGTATGCGACAAGCGCCGACATGTTGCCACGCGCGAAAGCACGCAGTTCTGGCAGTTCTAGGCTGGTTTAGATTGCAAGTTTTTTTACTCTCTCTCCATCATATCAAATCTTTGATCACATACATAGAGTATTAAATGTAGATAAAAAAATAACTACTTACACAGTTTGATGGTAAATTACGAGACGAATCTTTTGAGCCTAGTTAAGCCATAATTAAACAATAATTATCAAATACAAACAAAAATGCTACCGAATGCCAAATACTGATTCATAACTCTAATCTAAATAAGGCCCCTAGTGGACCAGCGTCCCAGGGTCTTGTCTTGGTTGCCAGTGCCAGCCTTCATTCGCTAATCGCTACGCCTAAGCTTCGGCAGCCACAGAAAAAAGCAAGCAGGTGCTTGGTTAGTAATTAATCTTTAGTACCGCACATTCTAAATTATAAGTCTTTTTAATTTTTTTTTATTTTCATCAATTTTGCTATTTATGTAGACTTATTATTACATTTAGATGCATAACAATTTTGTTATATATCTAGACTTATTATTATATTTAGATACATAGCAAAATTGATGTATAAAAAAATTAAAACGATTTATAATTTAGAACAGATGAAGTATATGTCACACGAGTTTCTGTTTATTTGAAGATTTTTTTAGAGGTTGCAGATGTTTTCTTACTATTACTACGACGCTGTTTTTTTCACGCCACCATCTGTAGCACCGCCGCACCAGGCGCGTCAGGCGTGGCTGGGTGTGACTGAAATTGACATCAAAGCAGGCGGCACAACCCTTTTTCAAATTTTATTATGTTTATAAAAATAATATCAATATTTATATCTCAAAACAAAATTATTATATCACATTATTATTATTATTATTTTGGTTTAATATATATGTATAATTAAATTTAAATTATTTGACTTATCAAAGAAAGAGATATACATTCATTTGAGAACCAAGGGAGTACTACTCTCTCCGTCCGTTGCTTAGTCAACTCATCCTCAGTATAACCAAATTATTACTAAAAAAATACTAATATTTATCATGTGATATATTTATAAAGTTGATATTATTTTTTATAGACTTAGTTAAAGTTAAATTAATTTGACTTTGACCAGCTATAAATTGCAACTTTTTATATCGAGGGAGTAACTATGTCTTGATAATAATGTAAAACGAATTTCATCCTTAATCAAGAAATTTAACTACTTTATAAAATATTAATACTTGTATGGCATCAAAAATTGGGAACGAGGGAGGAGATTTTATGAGGACCTCCATAAAGCAGGGACTTGAGTTGTCCTTTTTTTTTAGTTTGGCAAAGCCATGTTTAGGGTTTCTGTTGAAGGTGCTCTTTACCACATGTACGTACGGTGGAGTGAGAGCCAAAGTGGGTCGGAGCTCCACCAGAGGGGCCTAAAACTCGTGACAGAAACGAGCCGGAAGGAAGAGTTCGGGTCAGTTTGCTGGTCTAGATTCATCTAGCCAGCCGGCTGATCCTCCTCATAGTTCACTATTCACCAAACCAGTCGAACAGTGTTTTTCTCTCACAATAAACCAGCCGGAACAGTAGTTTTTCAGCCAAGTTTCACACCAGCGAACGGGACCTTCATATAGAAATTTCTTTTGTTAATTAAAAAAAAAGTTCCATGTCGTTCCAGTATGAGTTTTCAGTTACGTAGTCAGTTAGGGGAAAAGGCCTGAATCTACACAACTGGGCAACTGGCCCTGGCCACCATCAGCATAGCAATCAGGCCAGGTCCAGGCAGCAGGCCCGCAGCTAGTAAGCGTTGACTATCTCGCAAGCGTTGACTAGCCGGCTAGCCTAGTAAGCGTTGACTAGCCGGCTAGCCTATACCACGTCTCTTCCCCAGGACGCCACGGTGCTTCGAGCCTCCGACGGAGCAGCAGCACGAGCCGTCGTGCGTCGGTGACAGTCAACCAGGATGGATCAGAGAGCCCGTCCTTTGGCACGAGCTGCCGAACCGGCCGGCGGCCGGTTTCTCCGGCCTTTTACGCGCGAAACTGGCGCGACACGACAAGCCATCATCCACCATTTACCCGTCGGTGCGGCTCGGACGACGTTGACTTGCATTGCACACGCAACGCCGCCACGCCGGTAGCCATGCCGCCTGCCCGCCTCCATGTGGGGAGGCAAACACGCTCGTTTATTTCAACGCCTTCTATAGTTCTATATAGCCCCTGGCGAGATGGACCGGATTGGATCTATCTCGCAATCCAGGCGTTTTTTCTCCCTTTGTCTTCGCTGCAAGTTCGTGGTCGATCCAGCAACCAGACAGGCCGACCGCGGAGGGAGATGGCGCAGGGGACGCTGGCGGTGCTGCTCGTCGGAGCCGCCACGTCTTCTCTCCGCTCGGATTCTAGCGCCTTTATCCCTGTTTCATGATCGACTAACTCGGCTGCAATGCAAAGACGAGATCTTGCGCGAGCATTTGTAGCTTCACTGCTCTCGAAGAAGGTGACATGGAGTCATGGACTATCTTGCTAACGAGTTTTGGTGTGGTTGATCGCAGGTAACATGGATCCCTACGCGCTTCTGCAGTGTCGCTCCCATGAGCAGAAGAGCAGCGTTGCATCTGGTATACGTCTCTGTTTAGCTTCGGTTTAGTTGCTTTCATATTAGATACTTTGATTTGTTGAAATTTTTGTTTTAAGTTACGTTTTACTAGTAGTCAATAGTCTGCTGTCAGCAAAAGCCAAAAGGAGAGTTAAGACGTACAGTAGGTAGTTCTAGACTCAGAAACAAAGAATCGAGTGCATTATAAACCATGCTCATGTTACCGTCTCCAGTGCTGTCAGAGCTAAAAAAACCAAGCTCAAGTTACCGTCTCATGTGACTAGGAATCTACACTGTGCAAGTAATAAGGCAGCACACTTGAAGAGTCGAGTGCATTATAAAACAAAAAATTACATGTGATTCTGTACCTTATGTATCCTTCAACCCTGGCTTCCCTGCCAATTTGTAAGTTTTGATTGGCCCTGCCGCAAATTGAGAGCAATTTGTAACTTGATCTGTTTGTGCACTGCAGGCAAAGGATGTGAACCTAAATAGAACGAGACCTTTGTGTTCACCGTCTCCGATGGCGCAACAGAGCTATTCATCAAGCTCCTGGACAGTGACGGTGGCACGGATGACGACTTTGTTGGTGAAGCAACGTAGGTAATCACATCTTGTAAGGCCACGTTTAGTTCAAAAAATTTTCCCAAAAAGTGTTACAGTAGCCATCACATCGAATCTTGCGATACGTGCATGGAGCATTAAATGTAGACGAAAAAAAACTAATTGCACAGTTTGGTTGAAAATCGCGAGACGAACGTTTTAAGCCTAATTAGTCCATGATTGAACACTAATTACCAAATAAAAACGAACGTGCTACAGTCACAAAAT